TTCAACAACAACAAACAAAAAAAGAAGGAAACAAAAATATCAAATAATTTTATGTGGTTTCAAATGCTTAATTCCATAAATTCATTATTAATAACTAATTTATTCGATAGTTGTACTAAAACTGAGTTCTTTCTTAGTTAAATTTACATGAACATTACAAAAAAAAAAAAAAAAAAAAAAACAAATAAGTTTTATCAATGATATTGAATTGAACTTATATACAATTTTGTTGTTACTATGATCTTTTCCATGATGCAATATATATATATATATATATACATATTAAATAGATTATTACACGCTTAATTATCTAAGAATTATTATGCACATTATTTACGTGCAATGAAAATTGTCTGCTCTTCTCGAATTAATATTTTGTTGTTATTTATATTTTATTTATTTGATACGAAAAAAAAAGAAAAAAAGAAAATTAATGTACTATCATTAGAAATGATCATATAGATTATTTAAATTTTATTATAAATTATATATTTATATTTAATTATCGTTAGATTTCTTTTTGATTAATATCAGAGCTTGTTTTGTTTTTTCTTATTATATTTAAAATATACTTATATAATATAATTAATGTTAATTGTTCTTCCATTATGAGATCTAATTGAAATGTTGAATATCCTATGTAATTTTGTAGAGTCTTGTGCAGTATACTAATTGAAAAAAAACAAAAACAAAAAAAAAATAACAAATCACTTTTAAATTTATCATAATTAAATCTTCAACAAATTGTGTATTCTAATTACATTTTAAAAAGTATCATCAAACGTTTTAAGAAAAAAAAAATACAACAACAAGTTATACTTCTCAATTTTGTATAAGTTATTCAATAAATTGCAACAACAACAACAACAACAGATAAATAATATTGTGTGTTTGAAAGATACATAGACAACGTTGTGGTAACATTGTAATAAAAAAAAGATCATAGTAATTGTGAATGTATTAGTAACCAATCCATATTTGTCAAGAAGACTGAAATACGAGAATGGGACCTCTATGACTTTCGAATGCTCAATTATCAAATTATTGTTGTTCACTAAGTGAGTGTACTTAAAAAGGATAACTTATGACAGAAAATTATAAATATTATAAATAACAATATTATATTATCGTTATAAATATTTATATATATACACACACACAAATATATATATACATATTAAATGATCTTACCAAAATACCACGATAATATCAAATCAATTTATGCATTATTATTATTATTAAAAATATTGTGTCATATGTGATTGTAGATGATGATGATGATGATGATGATGCGTACTATATTTATATATCTATATATGTTGTGCACTTTTACTAATATATGATGTATTACTATTTTATTGCTATTTAATATACTGTTTAAACTTATATTAAGAATATCTCACAATAAAGTGTACAAAATCTTTTACCCTGATTATATTATTAACTCAAAATATTATGATAAATATATAATAAAATAATAATAATAATAATAATAATAATAATAATAATACTATGATTAAAGACATTGTTTTAAATCTATACAATTTGAAATATAAATTGCATGTTTAATCAAAAAAAAAAAAAAAAAAAAAAAAAAAACAACAAAAATGTTTAATTTTCAATTTATTCACGTATATAATCATATTAAGTTTAAAAATAAAACTGTTTATACCTCTACTAAAAATAGATCGATCATGTGAGGATAATATATGAAATGCACATTTTGCGCGCGTATAACGTACATTATTGATTTTATTAAAATAGGAATAATATAAAAAAAAAAATTAATCGATAAAATAGTAATCTTGAAATATTAAATAAAAATTTGTTTTTTTTTTTTATTATAAACATTTTTTTTTAAAAGAAACATTTACAAAGATAAAAATTATCAGTTTTATTGTTCATTAAATACTGAATTGACTCACGCGCGCGCGCGATTATATTTTTGAAAATTTTCGTTGACGAATACAAAAATATCCAATCAGTAGTCGTAATAACGATTACGTAATTATTTTGAATAAATCGAAATAGTTAGGGGTTAGGAGAGAGAGAGAGAGAGAGAGAAAGAGAGAGAGGCTAGTAACATTTGTTCTTAATAAGTTGGTATTCCTGTGATTACTCCGTCCTCCCCTTCATTGTTGCTGTTTTGCACCCGGTGTGTTTGCGTTTTTCGTTGTTTCTCGTAAGAAGTTTCACAGAAGGTTTCAGGAAGTAACTTAAGCATATCCTTGATTTCGATTGTTGGTTATAACGGAGGAGGTGGAGGGGTGTAGTAGGCGAGGAAGATGGAAAATTTGGAGGAGGTATTACAGGCTCTCGACGAATTTCAGAAAATGCGACCAACTGAGATACCGCGAGAATTGGAAGATTATCTTTGTTGGGTCGCGAAAACAGGTGATCCGGTTTATCAGTGGTCTATGATAAAAACACTTTTTAGAGAAAAATTAACTCGCGTAATGACAGATTTCTATGAAAGCTGTCCAACTTTGGAACTTGCACCATGTCCTAATGTTGAACACTTCAATTATGACACAATGAAAAACAATCTTTTGGAACGATTAGAATCCTTTGCTAATGCACCATTTACCGTTCAAAGAATCTGTGAGCTTTTAACTGCACCAAGGAAAGAGTATAATCGTGTAGACAAGTTCATGCGTGCTATTGAGAAAAACATATTGGTGGTATCTACGAGAGAACCTGGCCCAATAGCACGACGCAGCGAAAATGGAGATAGCATGGTCAATGGGTCCGTAGATGATGCTGCACCTGTAACACAACCACCTCAAGACGTTGAAATGGAATATTGGGAAAAAGATTGTACTTCCACCGTAACCATAAGTGTACATACTGTGGAAAATGAAACATCTCTATTGCAAACCGTTATTCCATCGGCAACAGTAGTCAAAAGTGTATTTGGTACGGATGAGAATCAAGAAAAAGATACTTTATCCTCGTCGAGATCAGAGGGAGGTGTGGTATCTAATTTCATTGAAACGTCATCTGAATTTTCATCCGTCACAAATCTAACCTCTCAAGTACAGGGACAGGATTCAACGGCTAATTCAGGTATGCAAAATTTATCTACGATAACTACTGAAGCTTCATCAGGTATCGTTAATGATGTACCAGAGGCTATTATGAACGAAGATACGAGTTCACAACCAAGTTTAGATTTAGAAGGTGAGGATAGTGATGTAACAGATTCAACAAAAAAATTACAAACAACATTTCAAGCTAAAGACTTTTCATTGGGCGACTCGAAAATACCCAAATTTTGTTTAGATGATTCTAAGGTGATGAAAGATAAAATAAACAGTGGTGGTACATTGGTTATGGATACAGATGATGAACAAACTAATCCAATGACAACTGAAGAAATAAAAACAAGCAGCTCTGAATTAAAGACAGTTATAACCACAGATAATAATACTGCCATTTCAAATACGATGGTGGTAGAAGAAAAAATGACAAAAACGGATGATATTGACGACAAAGATGATGAAAAATTACATTCAAAATCTGATATTACAGACGCTGAAGATAATGTTCATAGAAATATACAAAGCATAGATGGTAGAAAAGTATTAACATTAGATAATAATAAAAGTATTGACAATTCTTCTTCCATTGACGATTCAGAAGAGATAAGATGTACATCTGTAAAATCATATGAATTGGAGACAGATGTTACAACTACTTCTGATGAAACAAATACCTCATTAATGACAAGTAATACTATGGTTTCAGGAATGTTACAACAAAACATTGAAGATTCTAAAGAAATTCCCATGGATACTTCTACTAATGAAATGTTAGATACTGAAGAAGAACATGCAAAACAAAATACTGAAGAAGCTACAGAATTAACAACGGAAGATGTTAAACCGGTTATCGAAGATCCAGATACAAAAAGCAGTGATAGCACGGAAAATATTAATAATTCTAATAATGACAAGAGTGGTGTTACTATAGTGGAAGCTTTAGAAGATGACAACAAAGTTATGAAATCCATAGTACCTGATCCAATTCCTATTATAGAAGAACCTAAAGATCCAGAACCTCAATCAAGAAAACTAGATGATTTGTCAACAACACCCGTGGAGATAGAAGAGATCAAAAATGATGCGTCAAATATTAATTGTCAATCATCACCATCAATAATAAAAGACAAATTCATTTCTAACAAGAATCATGATTTAGAAGATATTGAAGGTAATAAGACCAAATCTACTACTTGTAAAGTAAAAGAAAATGACTCTTTGTTAGTAGATAGTACGACGGTGTGTAAAAACGAATGTGAATCAATGGAATTGATGGATGTAGATGACGATGAATCATTATCAATGTTTCAAGGTGAACCAATGGAACAGGAAACAATAGAGCTAGCCAAAAGTTAATGTAGAATGTATAAAATAAATATTGGTTTTTTTTCACAAATCATTTCTATTTTAACTACTACTACTACTACTATTACTACTACTACTACTACTACATACAACCATTGAAAAAGCAGAAATTCATGCGAAAAATAAACGTGCACACGAAAACAAAACGAAAACAAAAAAAAAACAAAAACACAAAAAAAAATGTCAAACATCTTCTTTACAGTATAATCCTTGGTATTGATAGTATTATTTTTGATTTATTATAACTGTTTTCTTTTTTCTTTGAAATTTTCTTTAACTTTCTGACGGTTTATTTTCCTTTCCAATACTTTTTTACTTTTTCGAATATATCAATTAATAAACTTATTTTTACTGCTTTAATTCATTACATTTTTGTAATATATTTGATTAAATTCTGATAATTACTTATATGCAAGTGTATAAAAATAAATTTTGAAAAGTCTCTTGAAAATAACAAAACACTGCCTTTTCCTAAAAACATTAATAATAATAATAATAATAATAATATTAAAAAAAAAAAAGTTTGTTTTATGATCAGGGATTTGGTATATTCCGTATATATATATATATATATAGAATATTTCAATGCACTTTGTAAAAAAATTTCAATGTAGATTTATATAAATACTGTTGATATATCTATTTGCTTAGGTTAGAGTTGTATTTCTTTCTAATATGTATGACTCTGTGTTGTAATACAAAAGTATAAAAGGCTTATTAATACTTGAAGGAAATCAATATATATATATATATATATATACGAGATTACTCGTTAATAAGCCAATTGTGATTAAAGTCATACAATTAATTGAAAAAAAATATGACTGTAGCCTTTTATAAAAATCTTTTTAATACAATAAGCCTTGATCGTAAAGCTGACTTCAAGGTTGTCTTATATAGAGAAAACAAACACATATAGCACTTTTCAAAATAATGAGATATTATGAAAGTGTTTTTATTAAATAAATTTGCATTATTTTGAAAAGCTATCCAACAATTCCATTGTAAGACCGACTTTGATCAAAGTTGACTGAGATACAAATATTTGAATTATCAAAATAATAGATGATGATGATGATGATTATGATGATGATGATGATGATGATGATGATGATGATGATGATTAATTAATTAATTCAAATATCAATTCCAATATGACTTTAGATTATCATCAAATGAGTGAATGTCTCTATTATGAGTGTTTGCTATGAGCAAAACAAAAACAAAAAAGTATAGCAATGACAAGCATTTTTCTTGTAACTAAAAAAAAAAGATAGCATTGCTCTCTCTCTCTCTCTCTCTCTCTCTTTCTCTCTCTCTCACACACACACACTTTATGTCTTGCTATACTTTTAATGAAGAACAGATGGATTTCAAAATTCATTGAAAAGAATATAGTTAACATTGAAAGTAAGTTCAGTACATATATATATATAACGATTTAACCAAATGTTTTGAATGACATATATATATATATATATATATGTATATGTACACTGAACTTTTGATCCAAAATACAAAAGTAACAAGATGATAAATTATACAGTAATTATATCATATTAATATGGCATATTAATTTAAAGGTTATATAGAATAATAAATATTATAAGAACATGAAGAATAACTTAAATTAGCTGTGTATATTGTTTTATAGCAAAATACATGAGGATTTATTACCAAAATGGAATTATTTATAACATCTGCCTTATAGATTAAAGACATATTAAAAACCAGTCAGTCTATGTTTTTATCAAAATGACTTCAATCATATTGTTCTGTATAATACTACTAAATGCATTATATATTTAAGGCTTGGGTACCAGCAAAAATTTTAGATATATAGGACACTATTGTATGTAAGACAAAAAAAAAATAATACATGGTATTATACATCTTTACATTGATTTCTCATCATTCATTCTTACATCCCCACAACCCCTGTTGTTATATTAATAAACAAACATTTATCATTTAGTTTATAATTACATATATTTTTATATTATTATTATTATTTATTATTTTTTTTTTTAATAATATACCAAATATACATGAATGTACAGTATAAGAAAAAAATAGCATTTAAAAAATCTACATAATAATTTAATTTAATTGAATTTATGTAAAAGCTTGATGTTTTACCAAGTTTTTAAAGTAACCCTGTTCCAAATTTATTAAAGTACTATACGTTCCTATTTCTACAACTTCTCCTTCATTTATTACAACAATTTTGTCAGCATTTTTGATTGTACTAAGTCTATGAGCTATAGTAAGTACCGTTTTCCCATGAGTAGCATGTTCTAATGCTTCTTGAACAAAACGTTCACTTTCTGCATCTAATGCACTAGTTGCTTCGTCAAAAATTAAAATTTTTGGTTTCTGAACAAAAAAAAAACATACAAATATAGACAAAATATTATTTGAAATTAATATACGATATGTATTTATGTAAAAATTGCAAGTAATTTCAAATATTTGTAATACCTACCTTTACTAAAGCTCTCGCAATAGCAATTCTCTGTCTTTGACCTCCACTAAGTGTAATACCTTTTTCTCCAACGATAGTATTTAAACCATCTTTCATTTTATTTGTAAATTCTAATACGTGTGCTTTTTTTGAAATTTCTTCTATTTCATTTTCTGTTACATTTTCTGTACCATAAAGAATATTATCTTTTATAGTACCACTAAAGAGAATTGGTTCTTGAGGAACAACACCAATTTGTGATTTTACCCAAATTGGATCGAGCTCTTTGAGATCATGATCATCCAATAATATTTTTCCACTACATGGATCATAAAGTCTTAATAATAACATTGCTACTGTAGATTTTCCAGAACCAGAGGAACCAACAATGGCAGTTATTGAATGTTTTGGTATATGTAAATTAAAATCACGAAGTATAAGCGAATTTTGTCTCGTAGGATAAGAAAACTGAACATTTTGAAACATAATATCACCGGTCAATTCATTCTCCAATATTTGACCACCTTTAATAGGTATTTTAGGTTTTCTATCAATTAATTCAAACAAATGTGAACTAGCACCCAAAGCTTTGTTCAATTCACTGTAAAATGAAGATAATCCGCTCATTGATATTCCTACATATGCCGCATATAATAAAAAAGCACTCAAATTTCCAATTGTTATTGTTGAATCAGATATCATAACACCACCATAATAGAGTGCGGATAATATAATTACATTTCCAGATAAACCTGTCATAGCAAAAAATATTCCTCTGTATAAACTTTCTTTGTAACATAATTTAAGAACGTCTTGTAATTTAGAACTATATCTTTTAACTTCTTGCATTTCTTGTGCATAAGCTTTGACAATTCTTATATTACTAATTCTTTCTTCTGCCTCTGTATTTAATACTGCCAAACTATCTTGTACATTTCTTGAGATTTTTTTCAAATAACGTCCATTAATAATAGCTATACCAGCGACTACAGGTACTACTGACAAACCAACAAGAGCTAATTGTGGTGATATATAAAACATCATTGATATTCCACTTGTTGTCATAATTAAAGATCTCAAACCATCGGATACATTGCTAGTAACAGCATAACTTACTAATTGAGCATCTCCTATAAATATCACATGTGTTACATATTTACATGATAAAGGTAAATGATTAAACAGAGTATTATATGTTATATCAAAGTTTTACCTGTTAATCTTCCAACAAGTTCTCCTGTACTTTTAGTATCAAACATTGCTGTTTCTTGACTGAGAATTGCTGCGTATGCTTTTTTCCTTAAAGAATATGTAATTCTATGGCCTGCAGTTGACATCAAATAAATACGACAAAAATTACTAATAGCACCAATTAAAAATACTCCAAATAAAATAATACATAATTGATTTAATTTTTCAGCCATCTTGTCTACATTCACATTATAAATAATATCAATGACTTTTCCTAGACAAAAAGGTACTGCCATTGTTACAGTAGATGATATTATTAAAAATGTAATAGCACTTAATAACCTCCATTTTTCAGGTGCAGCTAAGAGAATTAATTTTTTAAGATCTGATTCTTTTCTTTTTGTCTTTGATATCACATTTGTAGGAACATTTTTAATATCTGTTTTCAAAACTTTTGTTGTTTGATATCGTAAAGCAATTAATGTACATGGTTTTTTTAATAATACATTTTTCGATGACGTCCAAATTGTGTGTACACATTTTTGTCTTATTAAAGTTGACAAATAAATGGATTTATGACGAATAATATTAGTTGAAAGAAATTTACAAAGAATTGTCATCTCTCTCTCTCTCTCTTTCTCTCTACGAATTGTATCTTGAATAATGAGATGCTTCTCGTAATCTTTAATTTATAAAGATAATTTTGCAGATTACTTTTCAAAAATGAAATAACCTCAAAGTTAATATTGGTATTATTGATTTCATTTCAATTGAATTTTCATTTCATTTTACATAAACGTTCATTTTACATTCTAATTACGCGTATGAATATATTAACAAGGTAATTTTTTTTTATTTTTTTTTTTTAAGTATATTTTAACAAGGTTATTTTATTGCCACATTTCTCAATGATAAGATATTCTGATCAGCTGTTTTAACACGTGATGCATGGCTCTCTTATAAATAAAGAATACTCATTCAAATTTCAAGAATATTTGAATTCTTCATTATTATTATTATTTAATGCTAATTGTAATGACAATTAATTGGAAATAATTGAAAAAATAAGAATGATATATTAAAATAAAAAAATTGTTCAATAATTATATTGACATTGATATTGAACTAACATTATATATTCAATATACTTCTCTAATTATTATAGGACAGATACAGAATAATAGAGATCCAAATTGTGTGTACACATTTTTGTCTTATTAAAGTTGACAAATTAAATGGATTTATGACGAGTAATATTAGTTGCAAGAAATTTACAAAGAATTGTCATCTTTCTCTTAGAATTGTATCTTGAATAATGAGATGCCTCTCGTAATCTTTAATTTATAAAGATAATTTTGCAGATTACTTCTCATAAATGAAATAACCTAAAAAGTTAATTTTTCTATTATTGATTTCATTTCAATTGAATGTTCATTTAATTTTACATAAACGTTCATTTTTTACATTCTAATTACGCGTATGAATATATTAACAAGGTTATTTTTATTGCCACATTTCTCAATGATAAAATATTCCGATCAGTGAAGCCAGATCGTAGAACGTTTCTACCCCTTCCCTCGAGCCCAGCATGCCTCGACACAACAAAATTTACGTGTCGGTGTATCGGAAAACCGAAAGAAGCCGATGGAAGCCGAACTATTTCGCCTCTGCACGACAGAGGAGAAATAATACCCCCACCATGCGTCGCGCAGCTATCTCGATTTCCCTCGGCTTCTTTCGCTTTTCCGACACACCGACACGTAAATTTTGTTGTGTGCGAGACGTGCTGGGCTCGAGAGAAGGGGTAGAAATGTTCCGCAATTTGGCTTCACTGATTCCGATCAGCTGTTTTAACACGTGATGCATGGCTCTTTTATAAATAAAGAATACTCATTCAAATTTCAAGAATATTTGAATTCTTCATTATTATTATTATTTAATGCTAATTGTAATGACAATTAATTGTAAATAATTGAGAAAATAAGAATGATATATTAAAATAAAAAAATATTGTTAAATAATTATATTGACATTGATATTAAACTAACATTATATATTTAATATACTTCTCTAATTATTATAGACAGATACAGAATAATATATTCACAGGTACATTACATTCATTTCTTTTTTTTTTTTTTTTTACTATAGCCTATGTCGATTAAAAAATAATACATATTGTTTAAGACAATTGTCATTATTTGTTCATATTTTTCTTTCTTTTTTTTTCTTTTTGGTAAAATGAAATCAGACATTTTACAGAAATATATCATACTCATAATACATATATCTAATAATTTATCTACACATAATTGAAAATTGTAATTTAACTTTTTTTTTTTTTTTTAATGATTTTCACAATTTGATTATAAAAAAATATAATAAATGTTTTAACGTAAAATTTCACAAATATTTATCTTACAAAAAAGATGTGAAAGAGAGAGAGAGCGAGATTGAAAAGTTTCATTTAAAACTATAATGCAATGATATACTTTTTTCAAATGTGAATAATATATATATATTAATCTTCTGTTAATAAATACTATAGGCTGTTAAATATATATTTACAATAATAAGGAGAATATAAGGTTTCTATTAGCTGTACACATAAAACATCAGATACTTAAATTTATTCATATCTGAGAGAGACATTATTTTTATCAATTATTGTTTCTCCTTTTCGTGATTCGTCATTTAAACGACTTTTCTTCTTTTTTCTTTTGTTACTTGCAATAATTATCTTGAAGGAAAACATTGGAATTATTTTTACGTTTATATTAAATATAATTTATGTTAACAATATATATACATTTATTAGTTCTTTAATAATCTAGGACGCAAAAGTTGTTGTTTTTTTTTTTTTTTGTGACTTACAGTTATATATTTATATATATATATATATAATTATAAGTACTTTTAATAAATTGTATACTTTGCTTATTATCGCAAGTAATTTGAATAAATTATTTCTTTAACAAAATATTGCAATTTTGATAAATAATTATATCATATGTGTTAAAATGCTTTAAATAGTTTCTTTTGTTCAGAACACAATACTGACAAATTATAAATAATTAAACAACGTAGCAACGCGATTGATCTATTTAATGTTAAGTACTATACAGGTAGTTTTTATGTAATTCAATTTTATCCTAAAATAAAGTTGTTTATCGTAGCTTTACAAAGATAGCCACATTTATATAGATAACTGTATTTCATTATTATGTCAGCATATTAAAATAAATATCTTCTATACTATGTTTATATGGTATAACATAATACATGTATTAACATGAATGTGTAAATGGTATGGAACTATTAGAATACAATGTACATACGTACACTGTATAATTGTTGTTTTTTTTTTCTTTTTTTCTATCTTTCATTGTTTTTGTTTTTTCTTTCTTTTGTTCTCACGAGTGAGTCATATTTCTATCTAACGATGTACAATTAAAAAGAATGTTTAATTTTTAATCACTGAAAGCAGATTTTTAGTTGTTAATTTAATTTCATATTTCTATAATAACATATATATATATATATATATATATATATGTCATCTCGATAAGCTCTGCATTCCAATTGAGATTACTTTCCATATTTATTGAAATTCATCATCGCTACTCAATAACATTGTTTTTTCATTATAATTTTGTGAGATAGTTGCAACTCGTTGATGTGAAGTATTACGTCTTTGTGGTGGTGGTACTGGCATATTTTGTGGATCATCAGGATCAAAGCTGGATACTCGCATACCACGTTGTCCCTTAGGTCCTCCTATATATTTGTGTTACATTATGTTACATATTATCACAGACAGAATTATTATAATGCCTGTTTGAGTTAATTATTAATTATGATATATTGATTAACTAATAATAATAATAATAATTAATAATAATATGTATATTTTGTCAAATGTTTTTATATAAATTTGCAATTATTAATTAACAATTATAATCGTGATTAATCAAACACTTTTGTTCAATTATTTTATAGATATATTTTAATTATATTTTAGATATTTTAACAGAGAAATAATTAACATATTCATTTGGCAGAAAACATCATGCAAATTGTTGCAAAAAAAAAAAAAAAGATAAAGAAAAAAAAAATTGATAATTTTTCAAGCCACTACACTTAAAGTAAAAATAGAAAAAAAAAAAAAAGAAAAAATAGTATACATTCAAATAAAACTAGAACGACGAAATTGTATAATGTTTTTGCATGCTGAATAAAACATGCACCCACATTTTTCATGCCACAATCATATTTTATATCATCTCTACACATCTTCTTATTTATATTATTTTGATCTTTAAATTTGAATTTTTATATTATCGAAAAACAAACAAAAAAAAAATTACATCAGCTATTATATATATATATATATATATATAGTTTTTTTTTTTTAATTATTTATTTTAAAGCAACATATATAAGTACAGTAACACCAGTTTTCTAAGTGCTTTAGTGTTAAGTGCTTAAGTTCTATTTTACAGAAGAGAAGATTGTTGTTAATCATGAAATCAATGAATCATGCCTATCTATGTATGTTGACAATATTTTTGTTGTTGTTGCCACCACAACTAAATAATATTTTTTAAACAAAGAGAGCTGACCTTTAATTCTGTAAATAGATTTTTTTTTTGTTTTTTTTTTTTTTTT